GGCTTCACACTAAAAAGGGTGAAACAAACATTTGTTGGGGGAAGCCCAGGGTAGGTGAGAAGATTGTGAAAGAATGCCTAGCTTTAAATGAGTTTCAAGTCTCTAGACTTGATAGTTAGTATGCATGAAATAATCAATTATTTTCTAAAGTACCAAGAAAATTTGCAGTTATGCTCAGGGACCAACTGATGAGGTCATTGAAAGAGAGCGTAGAGAGAGGAGAGCCTGGGACAGAGCTATGGAGTACATCGGCAGTTAGGGGGCACGATATGGATGATAGCCCCACAAAGGAGACTGAGAAGGAGTGGTTAGAGAGAAGGAGGGAGAACTAAGACAGAGAACTGCATCATGAAAACCCAGAAAGGCAACAGTGCTCAGCAGAAGAAGAAGATGCTTGGTTGTCAAAGGCTGCGGAGAACAAAGGAAGGATGAGGACTAAGAAGAGTCCATCACATTTGGCAACCAAGACATTATTGCTAACTTTGGAGAGGGCAGTTGCAGTTGAATGAGGTCAGAAAAAGTGTTGCAAAGTGAATGAAGGGAAATGAAGTGGAGACAGAGGGTAGCTAGCCTTTTTTTTTCCCTAAGAGTTTGTAAAAGGAAGGAAGGATGTAGGAAGATACCTTGAGGGGATGGTAGGGTTAAATGAAGTGATTTTTTTGGGAGGGTGGTAAAGGAAACTTGAAAGTATTTCTAAGCATCAGCTAAAGAAACAGTAGATAGAGATTGAAGATTAAAAGAGGAGGGATTGTGGGGACAACAGAAGACATAGGAGGGGATAGGATGATGGGTTCACATTGAAGGGTTGACCTTGGTGAGGAGAAGGTCCATCTCTTCATTAGAGACTGGAATAAAGAAGGAAAGGAGAGGGGGATGATGTCAGGGGATCTTGAGATGTAGAAAGAGAAGAGTGATCTTCAAGTGCATGACCTCTATTTTATCAGTAAAGTATGTGACACAGTCCTCTGCTGAGACAATGGGGTGAGAGACTTGAGGAGAGAACAGAAGTTTTGCAACAGCCACTTTAGAGACAATACAAAGAAAGGTGAGCTCATTGATAGTACATTTCACCATCATCATCACCATCACCACCACCATCGTCATTATCCTCATCATCAGCTAGCATTTATATATTGAGGTTTACAAAGCACTTTACAAATATCATCTCTTTTTGTCCTTACAACAACTCTGGGAGATAGGTACTATTATTATCATCATCCCCATTTTATAGATTTAATTCATAGTTAAGTGCTTTGTCTAGGGTCATATACCTAGTAAGTGTCTGAAGTAGGATTTGAACTCAGAACTTCCTGACTTCTAAGTTTGACACTATCCACTGAAACATCTAGCTCCCACCATTGGGTAAATTAGTAATTGGTTGAACCTAGAGAGGGATTTTTAGATTCATCAATGTCATCCTGGGAGAAGACTCAAGTGGTGCACCACAAAACTCAATCTTCAGCTCTCCTTCAGGACTTTTATTAATGACTTGGATGAAGGCGTATTTGGCAGAGAATAAGCAAAGAGGGATAGTTAATGTATGTGTGGCAGAATCGGGATTTAAAGGCATCTCAACCAGCTAGAAGACTGGGCTGAAAGTGAATGGAAAGTCCTATGCCTATGTTCAAAAAACCCAACTCTACAAGCACAGGATGGGGAGGTAGGAGTGCTTTGGTCAGCAGTTCATGTGAAAAAAAGACCAAGGTCACACTCAGTGAATCAGCACTGTGATATATGTGGCTGCCAGGAAAGCAAATTGGATCTTGGGCTGCAGGTCTAGAAGTACAGTGTCCAGAATAAGAGAGGCAGTGGTTCTCCTGGTCTCTGCCCAAGGCAGACCACAATCAGGAGCATTGTGTGGAGTTCTGGGCAAGGTTTTGAGGGTCACTGGCAAACTGGAGTAGATCCAGAGAAGGGGACTAGGTAGGTGAGAAGACTTGAAGCCAGGTCTTTTTAAAGAATGGTTAAAGGAGCTGAGGACTTTAACCCTTCAGAAAGAATACTTTGGATCAGAAATAGAGAGAATGATGGCTCTCTTTGAATATTTGAAAGTCTGGTATGCAAAAGAGAAACTCTCAGAGGAGAGAACTAGAGATTCAGGTTTGGAAGTTACAGAAAGCCAGGTTTCAACTCAGTGTAAGGAATCCTTTCAAATAATGGAAGCATCTGAAAGTGATTGTATTGCCTTGTGAGATGGCGAGCGCCTCATGCCTAGAACTGATGTTCAATCTTGTCAGTTGTTATTTTAAAGACCGTTTCCCTATTTCATCTAGGAGGAAGTGCAGGGGCTACTTGAGGACCTGATCCCACTCCAGTTTGCACAGGAGTTTTGACCTACTCCATTTCTGAACTGGGCCAGTTTGTCCCTCCTTAAGCAACCCACTCCTGAGTGCTAATCATATTAATGCTGAACTTAGTGAGGAACCCAATTTGAGCTGTGGTTCAAGCCTCCCCAGTAGCCAGGATTACAGGCATAAACCACCACATCTGATGAACAGTCAGTTTTTTAAAAGTACCTACTGTGTGCAAAGCACTGTGCTAGGAGTGGAGGAAGAGAAAAGGTTCAAGTAAGACTTGTTCCTTGCCCTACTGGAGCTTACAATCTAGTTGGAGGAAAAAATGCCAACCCTGATAACTATAATATATGATAATCTAATGCATTGAAAATTAGAAAACAAAATAAATGTTCTATGGAATACAAAGGGGAAAGTTTTTACCTGTGAATAAGGGAAGACTTCTTTGAGGAAGCAGCATGTAAGTTGTACTTTCAAGGATGGGTAAGAAGTGGATAATGGAAGATGGCAAAGGAAGATATTCTGAGCCTAGGAAACAATGTAGTCAAAAGCCCAGAGGTGGGAGAATGGTTCAGGGGAAAGAGAGTAGACCAGGTAGGCTGAAGAGTAGAGTTTGAGGAAAGCATCATAAGACTGGAATAGTAGGCTAGTGCTTGCTTATGAAGAGCCTTGAATACCATGCACATGAGTTAGTTTACTTAGGCCTCTGAAAACTTTTGATCAGAGCAACACTACCAGGAAGATTATGCTGGCAGCAATATGAAGGATGGATTGGAGGAGGAGAAGCTGGTCAGGTTACTGCTATAGTCAGGGCATGTGGTAAAAAGGCCCTGTGTGAGAGTGACAAGCATAGGGAAAAGGCAGCAAACGAAAAAGGTGTTGTAAAGGGGACATTGAGAGGAGATCAAGAAAATGTCAGAGATAGCCCTGAGATTTTGAACATATGAGATCAGAAGAATGGTGGTACCACATCCAGCAGTAGGGAAGTCAGAAGGAGGGGCCAGTTTCACCAGCAAGATACTAAGCTCATTTTAGGTATGTTGAGGTTGAGATGCTAATGGAACATCCAATCTAGGTGTATTTCCTGGATGGACATCTGTCCATGTGCCAAAAATGTTGCAGAAGGGATTCCTGTACCTGATCCCCTCAGGATCTATAATTCTCAGATTCATGAGGTCATAGGATTTAGAACCAGAAGAGACTTTAGAGGTCATCATCCAACCCTACCATTTCATAGGTGAGGAAACTGAGGCTCAGTAAAGTGACCTACCTGAGGTAGCCTAAGTAGTAAGCTGCAGATCTGGGATGTGAATCAAGTTTATCTGACTTCCAATCTAGCATTCTTTTTAACTACAATTATATAATCAGTGGACATTATTTTGGGGCGTGGGGGTCCTGGGTGGGGTGTGGTGGCCCATGTGATGTCAACCAACATCGCTGAAAGCAATAGCAGAAGTAACTAATGTGATACTTTAAAAAAAAATTTTCATTGTTTTTTGATGCGTATCCATACCGTCTCAAGTAAGAGTCTCTAATCCTGTTCATCCTAGGACATACATACCCGTGAGCTGCCTGTGACAGACTGGAAGCAACTAATACATCCTACACTACTCTCTCCTCCTCCATCTCTAACAAACAGCAACTGGTCCAGCCCTATGACTCATCTACATTGTACATTAATTTAAAAAAAAACAACTTTCCCAATTACATGTAAAAACCAAATTTTTACATTCTTTTAAAAAGATTTTTGAATTCCAAACTCTTCCTCCCTTCCTTCTCTCCCCTCTCATTGAGAAGACAAGCAAAATGGTACAATGGAAAGATCCACTAGTGTCATGGGACCTGGGTTCAAATCCCACTTCTGACCTTGAATTAACTGTGAGACTTGGAAAAGTCATTTAATCTCCCTTGGCCTCAGTGTTCTTATCCATGAAATGGGGGGATTGGATTACATGGCCTCTGCAGTCCCTTCCAGCTCCAAATCTATGATCCCACCTCCAAAAGTATCCAGCCTTCTCTTTTCATAAATAAGGAAACTGAGGCCTAGCAAGATTGTTACTTGATCAAGTGGCTGAGGTGGAGGAGTTTGAATCTAGGTCGTCTGACTCCAAATTAAGGCTGCTTTCCATCACAACAACAGCCTTTGTTCTCATGAACCTAGCAATCTAGCAGTCTGGCCTATTCCTTTCCTTGATGGCTTAACTGAGGCTCTGAGGCAGGAAGTAACTTTCTCTTGACAACAAATTAGTGCAGAACCCCTTAACTAGACCCAGTCCTCCTGTATCCTGTCAGGCCATCTCCCCAATCTCATAGGAACTGGAAAACAATTTCAGTGTGGAAAGGCCTAGTAGAATGGCCTCATTCCTGGCCCCATTTCCCTATCCCAATGATTAAAGGGTGTTTCTCCCATCCATTACCCCTGACAACATTCTTTCTATATACACTCTGAGGCTGCCTCTCCCAGAGGGATCCAGGAATGGTTAGTGTGGGTCACAGTGTTGTCAAACTCAATAGAAACTTGACTTAGAAAACCACAAACTAACATTGTTGTATTGTATTTTTTCCTTAGTTTGTTAACACTTCCTAGTTACATTTTAATCTAGTTCTGATTCAAGGCTGGGGAGTTTGGCTGGCCATGAGTTTGACACCTCTGGTCCTGAGCCTGAACCTGGATCCTCTTTTTCTTCTTTCCACACTCCCATACAGTTCACCGAAGAGAAGTTTGGGCAGGCAGAGAAGACAGAACTAGATGCTCATTTTGAAAACCTCCTGGCCCGGGCAGATAGCACCAAGAACTGGACAGAAAAGATTCTTCGCCAGACAGAGGTGTGCTGCAGCCAAATCCCAGTAAGCAGCAGGGAATCAGGGGGTGGGAGGGAGGGCAAGGGTGTCCGTAGGTTTGGAAGGGCCCACTTGAGGGCAGACAGGTGGAATCCAGCCAGATTTGGAGGAGGGCTCTGGAGGGCTGCATCCACACAAGCTAGAATAGAGTCCCCTGGAGTCAGACTCTAAGGGCTCTGCCACGTAAGGTGAATATTTTAAGATTTGAAATGAATTTATAGTGTCTTGGTGTGTCTGCAAAACCAGTAGAATGTAAGCTTCTTGAGGGCAGGAACGGTTTTTCATTTTGTCTTTATATCCCCAGGACGCAGATGGGGTACTGTTGCAAATAGTAGGTGCTTAATAAATGTTCATTGGATCGTGGGTTTGAGTGGGGAGAGGAGAAAGAAGAGAAACCAAGGAGAATAGTCCTATCAAGGGGCCCTGACTTTGGCATCTTTGTTCAAAGGAGAGAGCACAAAAGAATCTTGTTCTTGGGCATAAAGACTCAGGGATGGGAGAATTGGCTAGAAGACAGTCCCCTATGGAACAGAGGAGGGAGAAATCCTCATCATGGGATGTCAGAGCTAGAAGCAACTTCAAAACAGAGAGTGTTAGAATCAGAAGGGATCTTAGTGACAATCTCATTCATTTTAGTCAGGAAGAAACTGAAAGGGGTCACAGGATAATAATCTGGAAAAATGAAATTATTTGTCCAAAGTCACACAGGCAGTAAGTAAATAGCAGAATCAGGATTCAAACTGAGGTCTGTGACTTCTTACTACATCTTGCTTTCATTGCAAGTGAACGGTCCAGGATCAAAGAAGCACCCAGGCACAGATCCAAGGTACTCCAGAGCACTGCAGTGCAGTGTTGGGCCTCTAACTAACTTTGGAGTCCTGGTTCTAATTCTAGCTCTGAATATATATATATGTGTGTGTGTGTGTGTGTGTATACATATACATATATATACACATATATATACACACACACACAGACATATATACACATATACATACACACATACACACACACACACACACACACACACACACACATATACACACACACTACCTCTGTGATCTTAGGTATCTCTGGACCTCAGTTTTTTCCCTCTGTAAAATGGGGTGGCTGGACAAGTATAAGACCTCTTTCCTCTAGCTGTGAGTACTGTGGTCTAAGATCCTACCTAAGAAGAGAATGAAAAGTTGAATTCATCCTATTTTTTTTTAATTGCCATGTGGTTAAATTGAGTATTAAATGAGAATCTTTTGTTTGGTGTGGAGGAAAGTTATAAATATGTATGAAATGTAAATATCTGCTATGATAAGAATAACTTGTGGAGTCTATATCCTTGGCAATCAGTAAGTAGTGAGCTGATAGCTGCTGGAGGGAGGCAATGAGGGTGGGGAGAAGAGAGGTTTGGAGAGTTGGAGGCTGAGTAGTGGTTTAGATGATCCCTGGGTGAAATCTGTTGGGACTATAATGGGCAGGGTGGTCTCTGTGGGTCTTGTTCCAGGTGCCCGGGTGGAAGAATTCCTCTATGAGAAGCTGGACAGGAAGGTTCCCTCTCGAGTCACCAATGGGGAGCTGCTGGCCCAGTACATGTCAGAGGCTGCCAATGAGCTGGGGCCAGAGACGCCCTATGGTGAGCCTGAGTCTCTGCCCAGGCCTGACTTTTTCCTCCTTCCTTCCTCCCTCTCTCCCTCCCTCTCCGTAGCTCTGTCCCCTTTTCTCCCTTCCTCCCAGAACCACAGAATGGTGAAGCTGGAAAAGGCCTTAGAATATACGACAGTAGAATATAGGATTTTAGCCTGGAAAGGTACCTTGAGACCTTCCAGTCTTGTCCCTTCATATAGTACCTTGAAAAACTGAAGCCCTGAGAGAATCAACTTGCTTCATGTCACATAGCTAATAAGAAGCAGAGATGAATTTGAAGCCACTTCTCCCCTCACCCACAGGGCAGAAGCCAGTGCTGTGAAGTCTGCCCAGCTTCTCACATTCCCTGGACCCCACCGTTCCCATGCCAACACCTGGTAGTCCCTGCTGGGCTTAGTCCTGTCCCACAGCCTTAGGGAACAACTCTTCCTAAAGCCTGGAGCACAGGGACAAGTCTCCAGCTTGGTCTGTGTTTTTCTGGGTGTCTTTTTTACATCTCTTTGTATTTGTATTTGAATCTGTGTATCTATTTTGGTGTTTATATGATAGTTGGTATATTTGTAAGTCTGTGTTTAAGTTCTTCTGACTTCAGGTAGATGTGAGTATATATGGGTGCCTCTCTTTTGGGGTTTGTGTACATCTGGGGGTGGGTACCCTTAAATATATATTTTCTTCCATATGTTCTTTTATGTATGTGTGATGGGTATAGATGAGTGTGTGTGTGTGTGTGTGTGTGTGTGTGTGTGTGTTTATCTTGGGGGTGGGGAGGGATCCTCCCTATTTCTTTAAAGTTGCATTCCACCTGCTCCATCCTGGTCCCTGGTATATAAGTTTTCTATATCTCTGATACCCCTCTGACTCCCTTCCCTCAGGGAAGACCCTGATCAAGGTTGGGGAGACCGAGAAACGCCTCGGGGCAGCAGAGCGAGACTTCATCCACTCTGCTTCCATCAACTTTTTGACTCCTCTACGCAACTTCTTGGAAGGGGATTGGAGGACAATTTCGGTGAGGAAAAGGAGATCTGCCCCTAATCCTTGCCTCCCCTCCCCCTTCCATGACTAGAGGGCTTTTTTCTCCCATCACCCCCTTTGCAGGTGTTTGTGTCCTGGGAAGCTACTTCCTCCAGGCTGTGCCTGGTGAGCATGGAGAACCCACCTCCTGCTTGTTCGTCCTTCCGTTGGGTTTATGTCCCATCTAGACAGGATGCAATATTTAATGCTGTTTCTTCAAAAATTCAGTTCAGTAAACATTTATTTTGTTCCTACTGTGTGCAGGACCCTATGATAGGCACCAGGGATGCAAAGTTAGAAGATGACACTGACCCTCCCAACCCTCAAGTTGCTTATAATCTTAAATCTGCTTTTGCCCTGGAAGTCCAGGATCGACAGAGCTGGAAGGGACCTTAAAGATCATGTAATGCAATGCCTTCATTCTCTAAGTGAAGACACAGAGGCCCAGAGACTTTCCAGAAAGGTCACTTACCTAAGATCACCTTCCAAGTCCCAGAGCAGGCACTTGAACCCAGATCTTTTCATTCCAAGCCCACTTTTGTTGTTGCCTTTGTTTTTTTCCACTCTAGCATACTAAGTTCTCACATGACTTGGCTACCGTCTCCAAATACAGCAGGGGTCAGCCAGGCAAGAAGATGGAGGCCGTGTGCTTTTCAGCCTCTGCTGTCAGAATCAGGCTTGGAGCCTGGGGAAACTGGACTTCTCTCCTGGGCAGAGGCTGGCCTGCCTATGTGTCTTACTATTCCCCTCCTGCCCACAGAAAGAGAGACGGATTCTTCAGAACCGGCGCCTGGATCTCGATGCCTGCAAAGCCAGACTGAAAAAGGCCAAAGCAGCCGAGGCCAAAGCTGCGGTAAGTTCTCCCCTCAGCGTTCCCTATGGTGCTCAGGGCCTGGCCCTGCCCTCCCTGGAGACTTGTTGGGGAAAAGATGACAGGAGGATAAGGTGATGGGGAATTGGGAGGGAGGGTGTAGAATGAGGAGTGCCTAGTGCCCTTCCCTCTGGATGGGTCACCACTTTGACCCTACTTAAAGGTTGCCTGGTTTTTGGCATGAATTCTCCTTACTTGCCTGAGTAGCCTTGGAATGGCCTCTCCTGTCTGGGAGGGTTTCTGAGATGTACTGATTAACTTTGTGGCCACTTTTCCCTGTGGGACAGGGAGAAACTTCATTAACTCTTCCCCTCCCTCCCTATCCTAGATTCCCACTGAGCATGTCCAGGAGTGCAATATCTACAACCCTTACTGACCCTACTTTTTAACCTGTGACTTCTGGGAGGGGACCAAATGGGTCTCCTATCCCTATCCTGGGCATTGGGGTTCCCAGAGTTCCCTAGGCTTTCTTTTCCTGTTGTTTTGGACCTGAACTACAGAGGATAGGGTGTGTCTCTTTTTCCCTTCTCCTCCATCTGAGCGATGAGAATCTTTTCCATGGCCAAGATAATTGCTATGGGATGGAGCTAGCTAATGCATTGTGGCCAGCAAACCTGTTTGCTAATGTATCAGTGCACATCAGAGCCTTCTCAAGCCTGAGGTGGGACTGTATCTTGCATGTTCCCTATTTCCTCTCCTCGCCCCCAGTGTAGCCTGTTTTCTGTCTCCCTCCTATCTGAACTTGAGGAATTGGGGCAAGGAGGAGGCTGGGGCTCCCTCTCCCAACTCTAATAAAATTCCTGTTTCCAAGGGGAACTTATTCCCTTCTCCCCCCATTCCATTATAAGGGATATCGGAGTCTCTTTAAAGACGGGTCCACTGGATTCTGTGGGGTCTGTCACTGGGAAAGAGAGCACTGCAGATCCTCTATGTAGCAAGGTCCCCCGGTTTCCCAGGCCTCTCACCCACCAATCTGTTGGGAAGCAGGGAGAGTGAGATGATTTAACCACTCACCCTGTTCCAGGGCCAAGGATATTAACCTGTTCTCAGAGGGATGAGCAAAAATCTCAGAATGAGGAGGACTTCTGGGGAGTGGTGTGTGACCAGAAGGGTGACGTTTATCAGCTGCTGAGGGCATCTAGCTTCCAGTCCTACCCCTAGAAAGATCAAGTTACCCAGCCCCTATCCTGGGCACATACCCACATACTCTGTGAGATGGCCTGTTTTCCTAAGGCCTCTAGAGCAAGGGGAGACAGGACTGTTTCTAGTTATGGTAGGAAAGTTGATTGTTAGGGAAGGTGTGTCGGTGTATCTCCTTTAGTACTTTTCCACCTGCCTTTCCTGAATTTGGCTCATGTCTAACCTTCTGCTTTTTAACGCTTGCCCTGTACTTGACTCTTTCCTTCCCCAGACTATCCCTCCCCTCCTGACTACCTGGATTCAAAGAGCCCTGGGGAACACCCTAGATTCAAGACACCTAAAGAGACCAAGCTATCAGTCTTCCCTCCATTCCTTTCTCATTCCCTGATTCATACCCCAGGGAGGTTTAAACCACAAAGTCAGGGGATTTGGGACTCCCAGGGGGATCAACTGGAGTTAACCCTCTCAGGCCTGAGTTGGAGGGAGAGGGATCTGATCTGGTCTGTGCTTCCCAGTCGTGTTGGGCCAATATCCCTCCAGCCAGCTGGGCCCATGGAAAGTAGTGTGTTCAGACTTTGGGGCCATAGCCAAAAGTACAGGTCATCCCCAAGCTCCATATGCCCTTCTGCCCCTCCCTGGAGGATATCCTTCTTTTGCTGCCCAAGGCTCCCCAGGCACAGATCTCTTCCAAAGTGCCATATCTGTGAACACGTCTGCGTCTGTCCATCCTGTCATCTTCGACAGGGAAGGAGGGAGATGTCTCGCTGGAGCCTATTCCTGTAGCTTGCCTGCGCTGTTGACTCACTAACTTTTTTTGTTCTTTTTTGGTCTGCTTTGGTAACTGGGCTCAGTGTGAGGGAGATGTGAGTATATCTGTGTCCCAAGTGCTGTGCTGCTTTGCCATTTTAATTTTTATTGTTGTTGTTGTTTCTTCTTTTCACCTTTCCCTAAGGGGCCCCTTGCCCAAATCTACCTGGAAGGGTGGTAATGGCTAATGGCTCTCTCTGCCTCTGTCCCATAGAGGCCATTAGAATGTGACCCCTGACGTTTGGGATGAAATGGGGTCTTCTGAATAGTGGGGAGCTCATCTGGTCTTGGCTGCTTGGTAGCCCAGTCCTCCCTTTCTCGGACGCCCCAGGCCGCCTTGCAAAATAACCTTTGCCTGGTTGCATCCTGGCCTGGGACCCCAAGTTGGGAGAGGCAGGTGCTGTCCTTAAGAATCGCTCTCTCATGCTCTGGTCTGACTGGGTACATGGGTACATTCCTCAGTCCTGTCCATACTTCATTCACCCAGCCCCAGTAAAACAGAACCATCTGCACGGAAGGATGGGGGAAGGGAAGGGGTCTGTTTCACATGGTCCAGGGCTTTGGGATTAGGATGCTGCATTGGTCAGATATAGTGCATCCATTGTGATTTAAGTGAGTCAGGGGCCTGGGAGGGATGGAGAAGAGAGTGTGTAAGGGCTGAGGTCTGCTGGTAGAGTCTAGAAGGCAGAGCCCATGCCCCCTGCCACTCACAGGCCTCTGCCCGTTGAGGAGAATTGTGGGATGGAGGTGGAGGTCTGACCACTGACCTAGAAACCTTCAGTACTCAGCTACAGGGACAACTTTTCCTCCCTTCCACCCAAGCCTAGTACCCAGCACAGTGTCTAGCACGTAGTAGACACTTAATGAATGCTTATTGATTGATCATCGGGGCCCACCCCTAAGGGGTTGGATAGGTCAGCTGTAGTTTTGAAGTGGGGGGAGGGTTCAAGTTCTCCACCAGCGGTACTCCTCTGTGGCACCTCCCTCCCCCAGCCCTTTCTCTGGGCTCTGGCTGGGTACAACAGGCATTGCCTGTGAGGGTCTAGGTAGGGCATTTCCCCTGGTTCTAGCTTCCTGGCCCCCGTGATCTCTGGCATGACTCGTCCGTGAATTCTGTTCCCCTCCCCAACCCCAGGCCGTGCCTGATTTTCAGGAGACTAGACCTCGTAATTACATTCTCTCTGCCAGCGCATCTGCGGTAAGCTCCAATTTCCCCATCCCTCAGCTTTCCTTCCTCCTTCACTGTGCTGACTCCCACCTCTGGGTAGACAATGGGGATCCCAGTTGCCAGCTTTCTTCCCCCTGATGCCAGCCCTTCACACCCCCTTAGAGGCCCCAGAGGGTGGGTGAAGGGAACTTTGCATCTAGACTGTCAGAGGGTGGCAAAGAGACTAGAGATATCTTCCCTGGGTTTGGGTTTCCTTTCCCTCAAGCTCCAATGCTTTTCACCCAGAGAGGGTGCAGAAGTGCCAACCCCTCCCTCACTCCTTACCTATCTGCCCCATGCCCATAGCTGCTATCCTATACCCCATTAAGAAAGAGGGAGTGTGGCATAGTGGATAGAGTTCTGGACTTGAAGTCAGAAAGATTTGGGTTCCAGTCCTACCAATGATTCTTAGCTGTTTGGCCATGGGCAAATCACTTTAAGCCCCCCCCCCCATGCCAGTTTCCTCATTTGTAAAAATGAGACAGTCCACGCTGCACCTCCCTCGTAGCGTTATCATTAGGCTCAGATGAGATGCTGATTGAAAAGCATTCTGCAAACATCAAAGTATCATAGAAACGTCAGCTATTATTATCAACATCCTGAAAATAGTGTTCTGCCCTTGTGGAGCTGCTTAAGAGCCCCAGGAAGAGGGGGGAAGCCAGGACTCATGTCCCTCTCCAGGAAGTCAGTCCTGTGACTGGTTCAGTAGCTTCGAAGGGCCTCTTGCCCACTCTGAAGACCAAAGGGGTCAGTGCTTCAAGTGCTCAGACCAGACACCTCCCCTCCCAACACTGACGCAGAAGTACGAGTGTTCCTCACCAAACAGACCCAAGCAGCCCCACCTGCAGGACACTCCAAATTCTAGCATTCACCTGCCTTGTGTGTGGAGCAGGGAGGGGCAGGGAGGTGGAGTGACAGCCATAAGGGACTGCAGTCCTGGGCCTTGGCAATATGGTCGCTGTGTGGAGGAGGGAGGGAAGAAGAAGGGGAGGGACAAATGGAAGGAAAATCCCTCCAAGGTGCTTTCCAACTATGGATCTACATTCACCCTATATATGGATCTATATATTTCCACTATGTGTGATCCTATGATTCCCTATATTTTCCCGTGGTCCTGAGATTCTGTGGAAGGGAAAAGGGGGTTACTTGAAGGAAAAGGGCCTCATTGTGCACATCCTCCTAGTCTGTTGCCAAGAACTTCCTGTTTGTTCTTCCTGCTATCTTATTTGAGCCAGGAATGGATCCCTATTCTGTGGATGGGGAGCCTGAGACACAGAGAAATGATGTGAGTGGCTCAGAATCAAATTGTGAGTTGGGGGCATAGCCAGGCCTGGAACCCTGGTGTCCTGCTTTCTCCGGCCAACAGACAGTCATTACTCGTCACCACAGAAAAAACCGGGGCCCTCAGCAGAGAAGGGCCACCACCTCCGGAGTTCAGTTGGCCAGCCATACTCCACTCAATTAGAGCAACTTCGAGGCTTACATTCATTACAGTGGAAGAGATTTCGGTTAGGTCTCAGAGAGAACTTTCCCAGGGATAAAGGTGGCAATATCAAGAGAACGCTGAGGGAGGGCTGCTAGTTCTTTCCTCCCATGCTCATTCCTCTCTTCCTTGCTTTTCCTAAAGGCCATGCATGTAGCATGTTGGAATGACTTGTCTCCCCATGCCCAGCTGCAGCCCCTGAGATGTGGGGATAGGGTGGGGGGGGATTTCCAGAAGGCTGGGGCTGCAGTTGAGCATTGGGCCTTTTGGGGGTGTTGGGGACTAGACCAGTCTCTCATCCATATTGATGTCTCCTGTTGTGGTCCCTACAGCTGTGGAGTGATGAGGTAGATAAGGTAAGTGCTTCCTCTGGGTGGGGAGAGGTGGGGGATGTGGAAAGTGCCTCCAAGTGGCAGACCCAGTACTTAATTATGAGACCTGGAGGAAGTCACTTTCACTTCTCTGGGCCTCAGTTTCAATTGGGAAATGAAAGGATCATGAACTAGGTGATCTGTCTGTTATCTCCTGTGGTCCTTCCAGCTCCAATAGTCCATGTTCTGACATTCTGTGGTCCAGCAGTCTTATCCGTGATTCTAGAGCATAATTAGACTTTGGGCCTAAGGGCAGAGGGGACATGTTGAGGGATCCCAGGAGATTGAAATTGATCTCTGACCTATTTAGAGATTCTCATCCTTTTATCCTTGTAGCAGACGGCCTGCTTTCTCAATGGATGGGGGAGGGGCTGGAGGGAGAGAGAGAATTTGGAACTGAAATTTTTTTTTTTAAATGAATGCTAAAAAAAAAAAAAGAGGGGCAGCTAGGTGGTACAGTGGCTAGAGCTGGGGCCTTGGAGTCAGGAGGACCTGAGTTCAAATCCAGCCTCAGACACCTAATACTTACTAGCTGTGTGACCCTGGGCAAGTCACTTAACCCCAATTACCTAACTAAGAAAAAAAGAGAGAGAGAGAGAGAGATTCATGTCCTGGGGGTTGAGGCACAGTTCAGAGTTCAGGACAAGAAAAGAGGGATCAGGATAGAAAGGCTGAATTGGAAGTAGGAGATGTCTTTGTTCCCAGGGGAGGGGGGCTTTTAGGTGGAGATACCTGAGCACTAGTATAGTGCCTAGCACATTTATTCAGGCCCTGAATAAATGATTGTTGAATGACAGATTGAAAGGGAATAGAGGAAAAAGAAAGGGAAACTCATATCCTCTGACACTTTCCATCCCCTGCCCCCCCCACCTCAATCTCTTCCAGGCAGAGCAGGAACTTCGTGTGGCCCAGACAGAGTTCGATCGGCAAGCAGAGGTGACTCGTCTCCTGTTAGAAGGAATTAGTAGTACCCATGTGAGTGTCCCAGATTCCCCCCAGGATTCAGACACCTTTGTGTTATTTTACAATCCCCTGACCCCAGACCCCAAAACTCACACAGAAATCCCAAGTCAGGTAGAGGTGTTAGGAACTCAAAAAGTAAATACCCCTGAGAGAGAACACACCTTAAGAGAATCTGGGAGAGGCCAATACTTCACAAGAATGAAGGAATCTCTAATTGTTGGGTTCCAGGCATTAATGAAAGGTAGGGCGCTTTCTTTCAGACTGCAGTTATGGGTAAGACCAGTATTGTGGCTAGTGTTAAAGCGGGAGCCTCACTCAGAGAATAGGGCATCCTTATTCCCAGAAGAGGTAAGCATTTAAGTGCCTACTGTGTGCCAGGCTCTTTACAAATGTTATTTCATTTTGTCATCACAACAACCTTGTGAAGTAGATACTATTATCCCCATTTTATCCCCTGAAGCAGACAGAGGTTAGGTGACTTGCCTAAAGTCACACACCCAGTAAATATCTGAGTCCAGATTTGAACTCGGGTCTCTCTGACTTCCAGACCCAGGGCTCTATCCACTGAACTACCTTAACTGCCTCAGAAAAAGAGCTGAAACAGGAGAAACTACCCCCAGAATAGTTCTCCATGATGTCTGACCTAAAATGTAACAGCATCCTTAGAGAAACTTCCTGGCAGGAATATAGGCTAAATTTATATCTCCTCCTTCCTCACCCCCAAAATGGCTCTTTTCAGCTTCTTTCTGGGTATGTGAAACATAGCGAGGGAGGAGGAGGGCAAGGGAAATGAGGGTACCTTGGCCTTCCCCCCTAGGTGAATCACCTTCGCTGCCTCCAGGAGTTTGTGGAGTCTCAGGCCACATATTATGCCCAGTGCTATCGACACATGCTGGACCTACAGAAACAGCTGGGCAGGTGTGCAGCTGGGAGTAGCTGGGGGTTGGGTGGGACGGGATAAAGAGGGAGGAAGGAAGGGAGGGCTCATTCATTCACAGGCCAGGAAGAAGCCTGACCTTGTAGCACAGCCACTTGACCTGGAGCGATTGCTTATTCTGACCCACCCCAAAGCGGGGGAGATTGGACCTTTGGGGTGGTCTCAGCTTGGAGTTAGGATGCTTGGGTCCCTTCTCTGATGCTGCTCTCCGCCCACAAAAGGAGCTAAAACCTCCCTCCCCTCACTCAGGAGCCTCAAGGAGTCAGGTCTGGAAAGTTCTTTGGAGGGGAGGGTAAAAGGGAGGTAGGGGGCAAAAAACCCGGTGTTTTTCATGTGTTTCTCTTGCCTTTTTCCTCATGCGGCCAGCCCTCAAGGAGTGATGTGAGTATGGGTGGTGGAAATCTGCCCTGATGTTTGGTTAGGAACAGTTCACAGGGACATCAGTCCCCCATCCCATTGCTCAGGAACCTGGGCACCTCCAGACTGAACCTGGAAGATGGCTGCTTGCCCCATCTGAAGGTTTACTAAGTGCTGGTCAGGGAAGGGGAATTGTGGCTAGGAGTCACTGGCCACCTTATAAGCTCAACCCTGTCAAGAAGTGATTTCTCCCTCTGAGGACCTCAGAGCACTTTATTCTTTTTGTCATATTCTAATTTGTATTATATTATATATATAGATGTATGGGTGTGGATATATACATATGTGTGTGTGTGTGTACTTATGTATATGTATGTGTATATTGCCTTGTCTCCCCTACTAGACTGTAAGTTACATGAGGGCAGGAACTGTCTTATTTGTCTCATATCTCCCACAAGGCCTTGCACGATATCTTATACTAAGGAACAGGGACTAATCTGTGATTCCCCTGGTATTGGGAACTTCCTCATGAGAAAACCCTTTACCATTACAGGTTAGCTTGTTCCTTCCCTGCCTCTTAGAAAATTGCCAAGGGCACAGAGGTTAAATATCTTGCCCAGGTTTGCAGAGCCAGTATGTATATCAGGTCTTTGGGACTCCAAAGCCCAGCTCTCTAGCCACTCTGCAACTCTGCCATATAGTAGGTGCTCAATAAATCTCTCTCAAATGAATCAAGTCAAAAAGCATTGATTGCATGCCAAGCCTTGTGCTCAGCTATGCGTTAGACAGGAATCTCAGTTCTTGCTTTCAGGAAGCTTCCGGTGAAGTTTGTGTGAATCCTACCTCCCTCACTAAACAGAAAATGGGGAGTCATACATTAAGATGCTCTTGTTAAGAGAAGGGAGGGAAGCGCTCTTCCCATGGGCCTCTGAAGGCAGGCCCTGGAAGCCTGAATTTTTCTACCTGTTTCCATTCAAATTAAAAAAAAGAACCCTTCCCTCCTTCGTCTTCAGATTTCCAGGCACCTTCGTGGGCAACACTGAACCTGCCTCCTCACCTTTGAGCAGTGCCTCCCTGGCAACAGCTGCTGCCACCATCCCAGTGGTGCCCACTGTGGCGGGCGTGCCCCCCACAGAAGCTGCCATCAGTTTGGATGACGTGGCTCCGCCTGCTAGTGGCACCCGAAAGGCCCGGGTGTTGTACGACTACGAGGCAGCTGACAGCAGTGAACTGGCGCTGCTGGCTGATGAGGTGGGCATTCAGTAGATAGCCCTGAGGTGATCTCTTAGTATGTGGAGGGAGGAGATCATTGGTGGGAAGGAACTGTAATAATGAATGATCTTTGGATGGAGGGGAGCAGGCAGAGCCTAGTTCCTTTCTGTCCCCAAGGTCACTCTAAGAGTCAGGTGAGGTTCATCAGCAGGTAGGTACCTTTCTCGAGATCAGGGCTGAGGGTAGAGAAGGAGTCATTCATCAGTTACGTCCTCTTGGGTAGAGGGTTATTGTGGCTCTAATCTTACCTTCTGCCTCTCTTCAGCTTATTACAGTCTACAGCCTCCCTGGAATGGACCCTGACTGGCTCATAGGGGAGAGAGGCAACAGAAAGGGGAAAGTGCCCGTCACCTACTTAGAACTGCTCAGTTAAGCCGGGCCCTGGGCCCACCTTCTGAGGGCTGCCACGGCTCCCCACACCTTCTCCCATCACCTCCCACTTTCACCCTCAGGTGGGAGAGAGAAGGTGGGGGGAAGGAAAAGGGTGCTGTCCCTTAAGTCCTCTCACTTCATCCTATTGTTTGTCCACTCATTACCTTGCTGAGATCCTGGCTCAGGGTGGAAGCTGTGTCCTCCCTTCCCTGTCACCTACATTCCATCAGAGAACAAAGGGGTCTCAGAGTAGCCCCCAGTCCCTGATCTTGCTTTTCCCATTCCACCCTAGGGGCAGAACACTGAAGGCCTCCCTCTTTACTGCTCTTCTCAACCCTCCTGTCCCTGCCTCTAAGCTTACTGAAGGAAGTAGATCGCTAGGGTTTGAGGGAGGAAGCTAGGCCTTGGTTAGGAAATCTAGAGAGAGGCTAAGAGTATATGGATTGGGGAAGAGCCTGGACCCCGAGGGAAAAATAGGTCTTGAATGCAAACCTCCCTGCTACCTTAAGATAACTTACTTTGGAGGCAGGGAGTCCTCACTGGTGCTTATGGCTGTGGGGCCAAAAGCCCCTTTGGATATTGTAATTACCACCTCTTCTGGACCCCAGGCTTTGGCTAAATCCCTCAGTTGCCAAAGAGAAAAAGGGGCAGTTAGGTACTGCCTGTGTTGGCCCTCGAGGGCCAAGGCGGGAGAGCATGTAATGAAAGTGATCTGGACTTCTCTGAAGCAAGGAAGTTAGTGGGTGTTCCTCTCATTCACCTGCTTAATCCACACTCCATCCCAATCCCTGGGGTGATCCTAGGGACAAGGACCATGGGAGCCTCTTCATGGTCTGCTTTACCACTGTCATTTCAGTCGATATACCTTAAGTGCAGCGTCCTTCCTCTTGCCCCTCAGGTAGGAAGTCAGGCAAGGTCCCTGTTGTGGCCTATCCCTATGCTCTGTCTCTAGCCCTCTCTCACACTCACTTTTTAACTGGCATTTTTACTCCTGTGTCAACGCCTGGCTGCTTGGCCTCTTGTGAATGATAATAAACCATCTGTAGTGCACAAGCTTTTACAATCAGGCTCCTTTCTTTTCCATCACCAGCCTCTGGAGGGGGTCAGAGCTGTTCTCCTCTCCTCGTGTGGTCTAGGCCACAGCCTCTCGAATGTTCTACCCACAGGTAGGGTAGGCTGTGTTTACCAGCCTCAGAGGATGACTGGAAAAAAAAAACCTAACCTGAAGTATATACGTCTGAAGGTTATTTGTATGTTCTGATCAGCTGCAGACATTAAACAACACTATGGGAGTGAAAAGAATCATTGAACCTAAGAGCATGGTGGGAGACAGGTGCCACAATGGGGCAAAAGGGAAGACTGGTTTTGGATGTAGGCCCTCCCTCCCTACCAAGTTAGACATTCATATCCACAAGAACCCATTCCCTCCCATTTTCTTCTCAAGACATATGTCATTATCATCCAAGCTGCCAGAGAACATCCCCATTAGGGTCTCAGTGTAGCACAACCTTCAGAGAAGGTTTGGAGGGGTACGTGGATGCTGCATGTAGGGAGGAGAGAAATTTCAGAAGCCAAGTCCAACAGTAACCCTTTGAGCAGTCTTCAAGAGACATATGGAAAGAGAATGGCCCAAACTACCAAAAGAGATGCCTTTATATGTGTCAATCTGAGGCTTATGAATGTGGTATATTTTATCTGATTCTTACATGTACTACCTGTGAGAGTATTATAGGTATTATCCCCATTTTACAAATAACAAACCAGTCATACAACTAGTTAAATATCATAAGCAGGATTTCTATAGTGCTCTTCTATGTCATGCTGGCTCATGCTAAAAGTTCTAATGACATCCACCACACCTGTGTTTATAAACAGTGTTTTAATATTTGTATAAATAGAGCAGTTACAAAAAATGCAATAACACAGCATGTAAAGAGTCGTTTCAAACCCGTGCACACGGCCTCTTGTCTTGGACTGTACATGGCACACACACCTCTCACCCAGCTGGCAGTGGGGGCTGGCCTCACTCAGGACAGGATTCGCTGAGGGAAGATGGGCCCAGCTGCTATGAGCAGCAATGAGGAATGCTCACAGGAAAAGAATATGCTTTCATGGGGTGTTTTTTATACAAGTAGCTAAGAAAACTGATCCTCTGGTTCAGCTGTCCTCCTCCAACCCGATGATGAGATACAAAAATAAGGATGGGTTCCCTAGAGAACCTGCTTGGACCATTTGTTTCCTTTAAGAGGCGCTTTAGTAGGGGTGGGGTGGGGTTGTCTTAGGCCCCTAGGCTGGCTGGAAGGAGGAGTGGCCTGTGGAAAAGTCAACTGCCCTATCTCTGCACATGCTGGACAAAGGCCTGGACTAGTTGAATCAGAGGTTCTTGGCTCTCAGGGCCTGCTTTGGAAGCTGAGGCAGGCTTGCCTTGAGGTGAAGGAAGGATGCCAGCAGCTGGAGAAGTGGGGGCTCCACGGCGGAAGTAACGGGAAAGGCTGGAAAGCAACGTACTCTGGAATGTAAAGGGGAAAGAGTTAAGGACTGGTCAAACTTTTGATTGTTTCTCTCTAGGGTTGAAGGTATCCAGTTATTTAGAGGAGTCTACAGTTATACAGAGTGGGCAAGGGACAGGGTGTTGGAATCCCTCCCTAAAGAACTGCTTCCCTCTTACCCTGCCCAAGGCCCACCATACCAATTCTGAGCTGAGCTCCTGCTTCATTCTCTGTTTGTCCCTGGGGTGCACGGCTGGGTCCCTCAGGTAGCGGACAGCCTGGGAGATGAGCAGGTAGAAGCAATTTTCCATTGTAAACATCAGGAGGGACCTGTGAAGGACAATAGATTATTTGGCAAAGCTGAACAATGGGGAATAAGGATGAAGAGCCAAAGATTAAGAGCTGCTGAAAATTTCCCACCCATCACCAATAGGATCCAAGGCTCAGAGAAGAAAAGAAACAAAGATCAGGCAGTGCTATGAAGCAGATGTCTTACTTCAGTGTTCTGATCCCCTCCACCTGAGTGCTCAGCCCCACAGCCTGGGACAGGGGTTCCTTTTTCTTGTCCAACTGTAGAGAGGGGGGAAAATGTCAGACCCAGATGTAAAATGAAGAAGGTAAGGAAGGTCTGGTAAAGGCAACAGTCTAGGCATTGGACCTACCTCTCCCAACATGTTGAGGGCCACGTTCACTGTGGCCAAGAGCGTCCCAAAAGAGGGGGCTACGTCAGAGTCAAAGGTTGGGGTCGTGAAGCTCAGGGCAAAAAGGATGTTGTATTCAGCAAGATCTAGGGACTATGGAGAGGGGAAATTCAGGAGATCACCAATCCATTCTTAATCCTTCTGCTTCCACTCCCTAGTTACTAAAAACATCACCTGCTCCCCATGCCCACCCTAAGTCTTTCCTCCCCTGCTGAGGCACAAGGGCTGGATACCTGGTCCAAAAGGATCTGGCAGACATCAGGGGTGAAGTGGCGCAGGGCAGCCAGCGTCTTGCTGAGAATTTTCAGGAGGCTATACTGGACCATGCGCAGGGCCCTTTGTTCTGCAACCTCGCCATCAGGGTTAGGCTGCTTTGAGGACGAGGGCTGGGGGGGGCGTTGGACTCGAGGAGTCACAGCCGAGGGCATGGCATCACTTCCATTTTTGTTCTATGGTGGGAGAAAGGAACCAGGGATGAGTCCCTCCAGGAACTCTTATCTCATCCAGGCTGGGAGTAATTCAGGGCAACAATGTTAGGACTGGAGTCAAGCAGTAACAAATGCCATCCTGGAGTTACCCTCACCTGTAAATAGTGCTGCAGCATCTTGCGGCTGTGTAGGAGGGAGGTGCAAGCCTGACACAGGTAACACAGATTTACCTAGAACACAGCAGGAAAGATGAGGAGAGGCCAGGGAATAGGTGAAATGGGACATTTTTTTTTTTAATCAAAAGCTCTAGTCAGGTCTTTCCAAGTCATGCTTGTTGTCCCTCAAATACTCAACCTTGACAGGATCTCTGAATGTCCTTTGATAAGAGAAAAATTACCTTAAGGCAGGGGTGGGAACCTGCCACCTCTAGGACACAAAAAGCCTTCTAGGTCCTTGGGTGCTGCCTTTTGACTGAGGCCAAGTTTTATAGAACAAATCCTTTTATTAAGGGGATTTGTTCTGTGAAGTTTGGATTCAGTCAAAGGGCTGCACTTGAGGACCACATGTGGCCTCAAGGCTGCAGGTTCCCCACCCCTACCAGGAATAAGACAACACAAAACCCAATCCTTTGCTTCCTGAAGCTCCTTAGGGTCTTTGGGCTTTACGTTCATATGACTGGGATCCCACAGGATGTCTATCCACAGTGCAAATCCAGGCCAAGAGCCCCTCCTGCTGCTAGGAATAAACACTACCCCCATGCTGTTAAGAGCCCTGGATTTTACCTCTTTAGGAACAGAGGCCTCATGGAATACCCAATTAACCTAAGCCAGCCCAAGACAGAAGCCAAACAGTCCCTTACCTGTATGTCTCTCATGAGCTGTGGCAGATGAAACTGCCACTCTTTCATGAAGTTGGAGAGCTGCAGGATAAAACCTACAGTGTGATCAGCTTCCTCCAGGCAGGCCAGACTCTGCACTGTCCTTACTGCATTGAGGCACTGGAAAGGAGAAGGGCTGGGATGAGAAAGCTCCCAATACAATTTGGTTGGGGGGGGGGGAAGAGAAAGGGGAACCTTAGTAATAACTTATTAATTGTAAGTGGACTTAAGAGAAGGCAGCAAAGAAAGTGTTGTTTAGCTGGGGTGAATTCCTCTCCTGAGGAGATGAACTTGGTCCCATTTTCAACCAGGCAATTATTTTACTTATTTATTTATTTATTGGTGAGGCAATTGGGGTTAAGTGACTTGCCCAGAGTCACACAGCTAGTGAGTGTTATGTGTCTGAGGCCAGTTTTGAACTCTGGTCTGCCTGACTCCAGGGCCAGTGCTCTATCCACTGCGCCACCTAGCTGCCCCTCAGGCAATTATTTTCATTAGGATCAATCCCTGAAAGAATGAAATGGACAAATCTCTGTTACCACATCTGGAGCATGGATTGGCTACACAGTGTTTCTAACTTCAGTAAATCCTCTAAGAGGCAACCCTACCCCTTACCCATGTATCACACTAGATCGCGGCTCACAGCTAAGCTTTCTATCTGACCACAGACATGGATGCCTGGGAGTCACAACTCTAGTAACAGTATGGAAATTTCACCTGCAGAATTCGCTCCTGATGAACACCCACAAAGTCCAGGGCTTCAGTGAGGAAGTTATAACGTAGCGTTTTTAGCAGACGTTCCATCAAGGACATGGAGAGGCGGTAGACCCCAGGCCAAGAGGGGGCATCAAGGGACTTTCGAGAAGCACCAGGAGTCTGGGTAATATAAATAGGAGAAATGAGACAAAATGGTCTAGCAGCTCTGTTCTCACCAGAACAGAATGTTCAGTGAGCTGGGCTGATAAACCAAGAAACCTGTATGTGCCTCAGAAACTATGACAGATTGGTTTAAATTAAGAGAAAGCTTCGAAGAATCAACATAATTATTACCCCCACAAGCCTATCATGAGGGAAGAGAAACAACATCATATGACAGAAAGCACTAGGGGCAGCCAGGTGGCACAGTGGATAGAGCTCTGGCCTTGAAGTGAGGAGGACATGAGTTCAAATCCGGTCTCAGACACATGACAGTTACTAGCTGTGTGACTCTGGGCAAGTCACTTAACCCCAATTGCCTCACCAAAAAAAAAAAAAACCAACCAGAAAGCACTAGACAAAGTCAGGATGTGAAATGTAGT